CCCCCCCCCCCCGCGCGCGCAGTCTCCTGCGGCAAAGGTATTGACACCATCCTCTCAACTCATCAACTGTTCGATCAGCGGAAACAGGATGACACCACACAAACAAAGTTTGTGTTTTTCAGTGTGCAGAGTTGGGAAACGTCTGCGAAATGCGACAAGACCTCGGATTAAGTTCTCACCAGGGTCCCCGATGATGTCAAAAGGATTGGCCTGGAAAAATGTCTGACCCACGTCGACCATCAACACGCGCTCGTACTCGGGGCCCTTAACGTCCAAGAACCGTTGAATCATGATCCAGCGGGCGGAGGAAGGGTGGTACTTGCGAAGGGACGCTGGTTCCAGTCGCTCTCTGGAGATCTCGAGCGGGGTTATCATAAACCTGGCCGCACCCCGCGCCGTGTAAAAATAGGGGGCGCCCAAAAACCGGTTGGAGTTTTGTGTCGCGGCTCTAGGCCACAAGGGCCTTGATAGGAAGTCGTATGCGTACGGCGGCAGTGCCTCAGACCGCACGGCGGCCGTGCCGGTGATGATTTAAGGATCAGCATGAACCTTGACGCTGCGCTATGTGCCAACTCTTGGGGGGGGCAGGGCAAGACGATACGAAATCCGCTCCACCGCTTGTGGTCCATGGGTAGCATGATATGAATACCGAACGTAGTTAAGCTCCTGAAACGTACCGTAAACTACCCACTCCTGCACACACGCATGGAACGTAAAGTGCGATTTTTTTGGCGTCAGAGACGCTACCCATGTCCTTCTCTCTTGGCGTACTCACGTGTCGATGATGTCGTTAAACCGTTCGCTCGTGGGTGCCTCAAAGAACATAAATAGGTCGGCCGACGGCACAAACTCGCGGAAGGATGCCGCAAACGTAACGAGTTGTGCGGGGCTTATGCCCACGGCCATACCCAGGCATAAGTCGCCCCCCCCCGGCGCCCTATCAACTCCACCATTTGTGTTGGCAACGCCAACTCTTTCCGCTGGCCGAGGTCCGTGCGATGATGCTACCGGCGGGCTTCCAATAGGAGGATATGCGCTAAGGCCACGAATACCGGGCCGGGCGCCGTTTTCATACTCCTTACGGGCGGAGATGTTGACCTGTAAGAAGAGTTTAAGAACACAGAACGGGTATCAATTAATGCACATACGGAACCGTCCGTGATGCCCTTCAATCTACGTAGGTGACTGTTCCTGCTATCATCAAAAGGGGGACAAGCCACAACTCTTCAGCCACGTAACAATGCTGGCAATGGCATCATACGACGGGTACAACATGAAGCACGCAGCGACCGGGTACTAAATATCGTAAGAAACACGTAGTCTAGTAGATTGACACAACGGACGGCATTCATTCCGCGACATGGCGAAAATCGTGTCGTCGTCCTAGCATAGCAATTTGAATGACGACGACGTACTTCAAAGGGGCATACATGAATGCCACTCCAAGTTGATCTTCGACAATACACTGCTGTGGCCCTGTCTCACCACCGCCGACCCCAACCAACTAAATACTAGCAAATCCACGCAGCAAGATAGGGGGGGAGCTACAAATTTGCGGATGCCAAACCAACAGAGATTGCAACTCCATGTAGATGCATTAGACCGCAGTCTAGCTGCAAAGCATATTAATACCAACGAGACAGCCACGACATTTGATCCATACAAACAGCACCCTGTTACAGTGGGACGTAGACTACAGAATAGTCTACTTCACATAGTCTGACAATACATCGAATATACTGCTGTACACTAAGCGGGATAACGACAACACGTGTACGCAACGGAGGAAATCTCACCGAAAATAGAGCATCCGGACCGAGAAATAGGTTCGGAGCGGAGATGATCGCCATGAACAAGACGAGCACGACAATCACCCTCCACGCTCGATTGTATTCGCCATGCTTCAAGCTGTCGCTACTGCTGTATCGATCAAGCCTGCTGCCCCTTCGCCTCCCGAGCCCGGAGCCTGCCCTGCCTAGCAAATTGTGCGTTTTGTGCACCCTGTGTGCTTTGAGCACCCCCATGTGACTAAACGATTATCAGCCACAAGTGTCCGCGCCACGTTGCGACTTCCTGCCATGTATTGCACTTGGCAGATCCAGGTGTTTTGTCCGGCTGGCTGAAGATTTGGAACGCGGCGTGAACTCGAATCCAGATTTAACTTTTTTGACGTTACAAATATTGTTCTCCACGCTTGAAAGTGCTTGCCAGTCGCGTGCCCCCCTCTCCACACTCCACGCAACCGCGGAGACCCACCCACGGGCTACACCGAAGCGAAGGCTCTCTGTGGGAACTGGTGAGGAGGGTAGATATGTTTGGAGCGTTGAGGCACAGTCGTTCCTCTCGTTTACTGAGTTTTGCTTGTCCCGCACCAAAAGCCTCAAGTACTTGCGGAACGGACAGATTGTAGACGCGCTTCACGTAAAACACCGCCTACGATTAACTCCCAACTCAACAGCATCCACGAACTGCTGTCTTGTCGAGAGGAATGAAGCGCCGAGACTCTCTGGCGCAAGCCGTTATACTGCACACCCTGAGAGTATTATAGGATTTTTACATCCCAGCACGTACAGCGGTAGCAGCAGCTGACGGACACAGACGCCAGACAGGAGATGCGACACAGCAGTAGTTGTTGTTGTTGTTGTCTTCACATTAAAAACCATCCCGGTCTCTCTATCCAGTACCTCCTTCTGTCTCAATCTCTCCGTACTAATCCATCACTTGACTCGGCCAATTTCGTAGTAGGCATTCCATAACACAGCAGTGTTCCTTGTTTCCCTCGCTTCCTGACCCTACCGGCCTCTCTACAGCAGACCATGCTCCGTCGGAAGCCCACCCGTATCGAGCTCACAACCGAAGACGTTCAGGACTACGAAGCGATCAAGAAGAAAGCCGAAGAGAACAGGCGAAAACAGGAGGAGATCGAACGCAACAACCGCAACTTGACTAAGGCGGCGGAGAAGAAAGCAGCCGCGGAGGCGGAAGCAGCGACAGAAGCAGCGGCGGCGGCGGCGGCTGCCGCGAAGGAGCCATCTCGACGGCAAGTGGTGGCCTCTCGCATCGGCCTTAGCCGCCCATAGCCGGGTGCCCGCGCATAGTGGAACGGCCGAGCAATGTTTCTTCGCGACCCCTGGGACAAAGAATTACGGCTGTTCCCACTGCCGCCAGAGCAGCCGCCGCAGGCCGGGCTATCGACGACCGACGCTACCGCTGACGCCGGCCCGACTACTACCGGTGCTTCTGCTGCCGGTAGCATCACCTCCGAGTTGACGTCTCCACGCGGCAATGTCTTGGTAGATGTGGGCTTCTGGGCTGACCCGAGGGACGGCGGAGACGAGCGACCAGACCCGGCCCAGCTGGTTGATGAGGAGTGGGGCGGCACGGTGGAGGCGATCGCCGTTGCCTTGTACGTCCGCTCTGGCTTCCTGGAGTCGTTCGAGCTGGGGTACTCGTTCTGTAGGTTTGGTTGCTGCGGCGACGGCGGTGCTGCGCAAACGGGTGCCAGAGACTCCAAACGTAGATCTTGGTTTTCGGCCATCGGCGGCAACGGCGGCCACTGCGGTGGTGGCGCGCCAGAACAACGCGGTGGGCCAAAAGGCAGTAAGTTCATGGGCTGCACTACTTTGACCGATGGCAAGTACGTGTGGCCGGAAGGCTTGGCGCACTACATAGAGGAGCACGCCGTCCGCCCCCCGGACAACTTCGTGGCCTTCTCTCTGCGAAACCTCCGGGCGCTGCGGGAAGCTCAGGCGGGAGGCCGGCTCCACTGGGAGGTGGACGAGAGGGGTAGAGGGCGGATGGCGCGGCTTTCACCCGGGACGGCGGTGTTTTTGAAGGACAACACCACCCTGGGCATAGCTCTGCCGCCCGAGCCTGAGGTTCGAAAAATACCGTCGGGTGGTAGCCGTGAAAAGGAGCAGCGGTGCTCGTGTGTGCTACCGCGGTGAAGGGCCGTGGGGAATGCTGAGACGAAGGTTGACATGTTCGCGTCGTCACTGCTATTACCGTGTCCTTAGAATGTGTTTATAAATATCTGCCGTGGTGTTTTTTTGAGGCAGTAACTGCTGCTGCCCGTACGTAGATGCTGGCGTGGAGGAGCTGTTGCTTCGTGTGGTAAGTGTATGTGTTTTGGGAAAAAAAAACTTGGTATGAAGCCGTCGTGGGTGACATCGGCCTTTGGGCGTATTGTATACTCCACAGGGATGCTGTGGTATCTCGAGAAACGAGCACCGCTGCATTGGTTAGGACCGCATCGCGCCCTGCCAGCTACGGGAGGGCGGCTGTGATTGGATATTATTTTGAGCCAGGCTTCTAATTCGCTTGTTAAGTCATCAGCGTGTTGGGGTGTTCCCACAGTGTTAGGATTGGTATGCATAACAGGCTACGAAATCATCCGACACGATCTGCAGCTGCCGAAACATCCTCGTTCTTACTCCATATCAGACCCAGCAAATGTATATTTGTGATTCCCCTTGTTTTTTTTGTTTTTTGAAGACGGGTAAGAATGGGTAAGAATCGGGAGCAAATTCTCTAATTCAACACTACACAATATCAGCCCTACGTCTGAAACAGCCTCTCTAATTGTGTTTAGCAATAACTCCCGCGGGGGATTCAGAGACCCTTCGGTGACACCACCAGGGATCAACCGCTGCCGTTCGTTGTAGCCTTGGACAACTCGGCTGGCGTGTGCTGGTTTAAGACAGCAATTGTTGCGACGACGATACCACGTCGCAGCGGTGGTACTTATTAGTCGCAATGCTCAACCCGAGCATCAAAAACATGAAAAGGCGTCGTATACGCAGCTGTAGTTACACCCATTCTCATTGCATGCCATCTGTTGTACCTCTCCGTCCCTCAGCAAGTCTAGGGTAAGGGATAGGGGCGGGTGCGACGCAGCCAGGTCGAGTATCCTTCCGAAGCAGCAGCAGTAGCAGCACCTCCCATCCCTGCTGATCCCTCCTCCGCCTACCCCTGGACAGCCAATACAACGAGCCGTCTACGCATATCTACGAGTTCTACGCTTGGCGCTCAAAAACCAAGTCCGGACAGCCATCTCTTAACGTTCGTCGCGTGATCTCCCTCGATCCTCAGCTCCCCTCCCCTAGCCTCTACTTTATTCCCCTGGCAGACTTTGGATAGATCGGACGTGAACGCCTGCAAACGAGAAAGGCATGGCATAGCACGCGTCCAGCGTGAACGGAAAATCAGGGGTTGTTGATGCACGCTAACATTCCGAAATGATTGATGTTCGATACGCATGGTTCGCGCCACGCATAGAGGGAATGCATCGTGCAGGTGAATCGCTGGTTGTACGATTGGTGTATCTCGTTAACTCGACGGCTCAGCGGGTGTGCGGAAAGCTGCAGACGTACACACAGCAAAGCGCCAAGCTGGATAAGAGGGATATTCCGCGCGAAGAATCCATCACTTTCCGAGCGACCGGACGAAAAAATACTCACGGCGTAGTGCGCATGGATGGTTTATACGGTTCAGCTTAATATGGTCGGACGCCATATTGCTCTCACCGCTTTCGTGAAAAATATCGGCAAGCTCATAACTGTTGTGGGGACTCAATCCAACTATCGCCGCAAGCGCTGCCTCTCTCTTCGTCCGGGTGCGATTCAACAGGAAATATACTAGCCGAAGACGGACCTTTTACTCTAAACAGGTGTCATCTGCTCAGAAAACGAAGCGGCACGGCGTATTCATAAGATGGACAGGGCGCGTGACAGCAGAGGAGGTAGTGCAACTAGCAGCAGCGGTAGCAAGAACGTTCAATGTTGGCGCTAAAAGAACCCTTTCACCTTCATGTCCCCTGTCGCCTTCTTGACGATGGTGACTGTTCGGGTGCGGCCGTTTTTGATGTCTCGGTAAACCGGGATAAAGCCGCCCTTTCCTGTTCTCGCCACCTTTCCACCGCAGCAGTGAGAGGAGCGTCGGGGGGGGGGGGCACATGCAAGTTGAGTTCTATAAAGTAAAGTAGGTTCGGCTATACGCCCAAGGAAGCCGTCTCCTTCGACGCAGTACTACTGCCGTATCATGGGACACATAGGTCTATCGGGGCGTGCTTTGGAGCGAGGAGAATGCCATCATCACCGGCCCGAGAGGGGCGAGAAGCAAACCATTAAAAAGTAGATTTCTCCGCACCAGAAATCTCAACAAAGCTCAGTGTCCAGCAGGCACCACCTCTGGATCTTCACGACTGCTATCAAGACTTCAACACGGCCCCTTGAGGATCATATCTTCGTGGATAATCCTCCTGCGGTGAATCCTACGTTCCACCGCAAGAAAAGGCCTGCTGAGATCTAGCCATCGAGGCGAGAGGCGCTATATTTTGAAGGACGCCTCGTGAGGTGTCCCGCTAGGCACGCTATCGTCACTCCGCCGAGTCTCAATCGACGCCGGCTTCCAAGCACACACCTGGAAGGGGAGATCCGGCTTCGATTCCGGCGGGGGGCACCAGCCGTTCTTCAAGACAAACTCAGGGGCTGTTCGGGGCGGGTAGGCCAACTGCAGAGACTCCAGGTCCACGGGGCCGCTGTCTAGAATTCGCCTGGAGGTGGGAAGAAGGGCACCAAGGTTCGAAAAACGTTGACAGATATCTACGTGCTGTTCCGTTCGATGCACCATGCACAGCAACACGGTACAGGAGGAGATCGTGGCAGTTGTCGGTATTAGATGTCTTTCAAAACACGGACGCTTGCTTGACAATTCTAAGGAGACGGGAGTGGCTGGCGAGCGGGTAGGGGTCACTTCTCTGGTCTACACCATCTCCATCGCTTGTACCTGGCTTGCATTATCACCGACTTCCGTCATGGTGATTGTCACACCGGTACGCTCGCTCATGAGCATGTGTTTACATCTGCACCTTCGGGTGGAGGATAACCTAGACCTGCCTTAAGGTATATATGCAAGTTCAATGTTAGCAACCACTGTTGACATTAAGCCCACGTTCTCAAGTTGTTTGGACAGGCAAGGCGGCCGCAACTACCCTCTAGTAAACCAACACGAACATCATTCCAAGAGACGCGAAAGGATAGATGAAATGATACTGCTGTAGAATCAACAAGTGAAACGTGAACACCGCCGGGCGAAGAGTGTACGGCAGGTTTCCAAAGTGCTTTCGAGATGAAATCACTCGGTTTCACAGACGTCTGTTAACAGCAGTTTTACTCTAACACGAACACGAAACGGCAAGAAGAGGCGTTTATCGATCTTGTACATTTACGAAACAACCCTGCTTGTTGGACAACGCAACGTTCGATTGAGCACCCACGTACAGAAACACCCATGACAGGCAGCAACAGCAGTAGCGGACAGGGGTGTTCTACCCCACACTGCAGTAATCCGGTGTATCTGCAGGGTCCGAAGGGTCGTAAAAAGGGTGCAGGCTGATGCAGAGCGTGGCGCATAAGACTTTCAAGCAGCTCTTTGACATACCGAATTTCGCCAAGAAACCAACCCAGCAAAAAAAACGCGTATGCAACGGCGGCTAGCGTGCTCATCTCACCGCGCCTCGTTCTTCTCCGCCTGCGCCTCTCTCGCTTGCTTGGGGTTGAATCGCTTCAGGGCGCTCCTCGACCTCACCCTCATGGTGCAGAGGGATGAGGCCACACGAAACACACAAGGACTCCGTTGCATGGTCGACCAACTTATCCACGGGTAGTGGTGTACGCGAAGGCTGGATAGCTCAGGCAGTTGAGCGATTGACCGATTGACACACGCCGCCAGAAGCGGCGGAGGGAGAGGAAAAACGCCTCTCGAACCAATTGGTTCGACGACATACCCCTGGCTCGAAGACATACCCCTCAATTGAAGTGCCCATCAAAGGCCCCCTTGTAGTTGATTCCAACGAAGCACCTGTGATGTGCCGGTACAATACCTTCAACCGACGTCATGAATATTTGACCGCGGACCACGGGTCAACAATACACTTGCAGCGTGATTTTTCGGGCACCTGCGTTTCACCCCTCAACCCTCGATCCCCCTCGAACCCCCGGAAGTCTGCCCGAGCCCCGCTGTCCTCTGGACCCCAAACGTGCTTACCCGCGTGGGGCGCTTGCGAAAGCCACGGGCAGGCGCGCAGGAGGGGCACGCAACCAAACGCTATTGAGTTCAAACACATACGCACCCGAGGGCGCCAACAGCTGCCAGCAGTCCATCCTTACTTCTTTCTGACCAGCATCCATTTTGAGAAAACATGTCGAGCCGTCGGGGACTGCAGCAGGGGCTGCGCGCCGAGCAGTTGAACTCGCCGTACAAGAGGGCTTCACAAAGGTGAGTCCGGTGGTGTAGACAGCGGCGCGGCAGAGGTAGAGAGTAGAGGCAGCGACAAGGGTTGACTGCTTCTTTTCTAGAATTTTTTCATGTGAAGATGATATGTTTCTTCCTGCCTTTCGACGTCCAAACATTGCTTCCAAGTTCCTCTCTGGCGCCTACAAGTTCAAACACAAACGCACGTGATATCCAAGCGCAGGCTCGTTGAAGTAGACCCTCCCTCCCCCCAGCGCTAGTCAACGATTGCTTGCCGGTGCTTCTTGATACCGTCGCGCGCGATGATACCTCTGCTGTATCACGCGCTCTCCATCAGACCTGTCACCCCGTGCATTGTATTTACGCCCCACGCAATGGATCTCCATCTTCAAACTACCCCGACAAACACAGCAGCTGTTGCGCCCACGCGCCCTTTCAGAGGAATCCGTGCCCCCTCAGAAGCGCCGCCCTTCCAGCCCCACCTCGCCCCCCGCCTTAAGAAGGACAGCAGCAGTAGCGCACATGACTTTCCTTCTCATGTTTTTGGTGCGCGCTCTATGCATATACCTCCTCTCCACGAGAGTCAAAACAAATATTGCGTTCTTTTGCACCCTACAAACCGGAGCGTCCCGCCCGATTTTTGAGTTCGTTTTTCAAGTTTCAAAATGGGTAGAATCGCGATCTCTCGTGATTGATTCCAAAGTTATGTTGGGCGCACTCAACAGGAGCGTTACGGTGCTCGCTGTTGCTTGTAAGTGGCAGCGCGCCCTGTAGGGTTTTGGTCCGGACATGGTCATCATTCATGGCGTCCATACGAGATGGCGGCATCACTTTCCACCTGCTTCTTCTTTTCTCCGCGTAGACAAGTGCCGGTCGCTACTACTGGATCGCCTTTGAAGAGCGGGTCCGTTGTCACACACGAACGACGGGAGGGAGTTGAATAAAAAACAGCACTGGTCGTGCGTGTACGTTGCAACGATGAACTAACAACCGCATGATTTTTGCCATGGTCCGTGAACATTTCGCTCGGGGATGCACACTGCCGTAGTTAGTAGCGAACACGCAAAAACGCGCGCATTACGCGCGCATTTGTTCCAAGTTACAAGCCGTGATCTTTTTGGTCCGATGTGTTCTCGGAGTAAAGCATGTGTCGGGTGGCGTTCAAAACGTCCCTGGGTCCATTGCGGCGTTTGATCCCGGCTGATGCGCCCAGAAAACATGCGACAAGATGTAGAAACAAACGTCCGGAGACGATACACCCATAGGGTTATGAATCATGCTACAAGCAGGAGGCGCAGATGACGCAACAGGAACGCTACGTGGTGGTGATCCATCTGATCTGTGGTATCCATGTTGGAATAGTCCGGAGGCTGACCTGGGCGCCAAACCTCCTCCGCGGCGCCCCTGTGGGGAGCCCGAGCCCCCGAGTGTTCCACATTTTTTGAGAAGTAACCAGAAACGGGTATACATATCTGTCGTTGATTTATATTGACTGGCGGACCCCTCGGGGCCATTTTATTTGAGTGTACAGCAGTACCCGGATAGATTATCACCATTTCAGGGTACACTTGGAAATCAAGACGACACCAATCTCCGACAGCATCCGCCGTAGATCGCGGCGAAACCAATATACCGCTGCCTGTGTCCTGTGTGTCCTGTGCCCGGAAGCATGATGATGCACGAGGCAGGTCGTGCCCGTTTTTCTCTCTCTCTCTGTGCCTCTCTCTCCGTGCTTTTACTGATCAGTACCACACCGAAGTACTCGCGCGTTAAGCGAGTCCGACCCTCTGTTGAGAAGGGCCCGTATCCTATGGAGACGGTGCCCATGAACGATGAACGAGCGAGCGTTGTTGGTGGTTTGGTTGTGGTTATGTATGTGCGGTACACGGTATCTGCGGTATTACACGTTTTTTTCTGCGGGTTTTGTGCCAGAGCGTCGGGCGCCGGGATTATATCTGGGTAGAAGATTGACCTCTTCCGGGTACACCACTAACCAATATCGGTCACACCAGAGGGTCCTAATTCCAGCGGAAGTTGTACCCAATGTAGGTTTCTTCAGAAATGGGTACAATGTTTTTTCGGCCAATCAGCTGACAGCCTGGGGGTGCAAGCGTGTTGATTTCTAACTGTACCCTAAAGTGGTGATAAAGGACCCGGGTACACCCGTTTCTGGTTATTGGTCACATTTTTTATCCCGCCATGCATAATAGAGTCACGGTCCTTCGTTGATTTATGAGGGGGTTACATAGCGCGATAGATGCCAAGAATGAACAGGACGCGCGCGAATATCAGGGTGGAAACTACGGCGGCTCCCAAACCAACAAGTTGTAGTGCGAGTGAATGGGGCAAGTGAGGGAGATCCTGAAGCAGGCTGAGACGGAGTCCCGTGTAGTAGGTGATGATGCAAGGCAAAGCAGCTGTTAGCGCGAAGACAACGATGAACTGGCGAGCTATCATGAATTGAACCCGCGGGGGGTGGTCCTCATGGAGTATTGCTGTACCCTCCTTCCTGCGGAGTCCGATCACTTCAGTCTTCGCTTTTTTTCGCCGCTCTAAGACGGGCGGGCGTCTTATTCGATCAGCCGGTTAGCGCTGTCGATGCTAATTGGAAATGTATGGAAATCCGCACACACACCGCACACGGATTTCTCCCTCCTTTCTAGACGTAATGATTTTTTCCCGCTGACACGACGTCTTGTCATTGGCCGGCCGGTTGAAGGTCAATCGATGTCATGAAAAGAGACACATGTTGTCCCTTCGCTCGCGTCATCCTTATGGCACGCGCATTCATAGCTCACGGAGACAGCCGACCTGGTTGCTGCGCGCTTCAAGAGCAGCATGCTGGCAACGGCTCGAGCAGCACGTAAAGTGCCTGGATATGCCCCGCCTGTCTTTTCATCGCATGAAATGCATTGATAGCAAATCAACTAGATTCCAGCATGTACTCTCTTCCCTGGATCGATACCTATCGCTGCGCCTCCTTGTTGACTGCAAAAAGGTCTTAATTATATGCAAGAAGCGGGAAACATCCAAACAGACCGTACCGCCGTAATGTCCCTGGTAATCCTCTCCCCTCCACCCCCCACCCTTGATCGTCACTCATCGCACCCCACTCACACTACATCCTGACAACCCCCCCCCGTCCCCGTCCCCGTCCCCGTCCTCACAGCGGCACCTTCGGAGGCGTTCCCGGGGACAAGGAAAACGCCGGCGCCGAGGCCCGCGCCGCCGCCGTCGCCGAAGGCAAGCTCGCCGTCGAAGTGTCCCACCACCTCAAGGGGGCGCTCTCCCCCGGCGTTCGCGGCACGCAGTGGCAGAACTATCACCAGTCGTCGACTCCTTCGAGGGCGAACAACTTCCCATCAACGCCGCCATCGATCCCTTTCACCAGTTCCGTCGCGGAAACCGCCACCGCCGCGGCCGCCACCGGGCGTGCCGGTGCCGATGGGGCGGTACTGCCCCTCTCCCCTTCCGCCACGGCGGCGCGCTCGATGAACGCGTTGAGCCACTCCACCTTGGACCGTTGCACCGGCTTCTCGCTCTCCGCGGCCAGAAGAGTCTCCGCGAGGGCCGTTCGGGCAAGGAGCGGTAGCGGCAGTGGCGGCGGCGGTGGCGATGGGTTTATGCACGCGCATTCGCCTCCGGTGGTGGTGCGCGTGCCCCCGGGCAGACCGACTGTTGCCAGGAAGCTGATGGCGGGCGGCAGGCGAGAGGCGCATGAGCGAGGGGATCTTGAGCTGGACTTGGCGGAGGTGCGAGTTAGCCCAGGGTCGGTGCAAAAGTTCTTGTACGAATGGGGAAACGGGGGCATGAAACTCGTTTTTTTGCTGCTCTGCAATTTTGCAGACACTAATGTTCTAGTGTCAAGAGCTGAACTTGTTTTTGAGGCAAGCGTGGTTTGTCAGGCCCCCGGTGGTTCACTTTCCGATGGAAGACGCAGCGTGGCAACATCTACCAAATCGTTCAGTTCGACCATCAGCCTCGCGTCCTGAGTCCCGTTTCAGTACGGTGCCGTCCAAGTGAAGCTTTTCCTTGCCATCGACAGCTGCAGCGGGGGACGCTTGCTCGGTTTTATACGCCAAACATCGATTTGGTCGTGTGCAGCAGCGCGCAGGACTTCATACTCGATCGTTCTCGAACGTGTAGTGCAACCAATAATGGAACCCCCCCCCCCCCCCCCCCCCCCCCCCCCCCCCCCCCCCCCCCCCCCCCCCCCCCCCCCCCCCCCCCCC